AAGCTGCTAAAGTGGAAGAAGATAAAGATAAACTTAATCTGCTAATCAATTACGTTAGTCCTACTATTTTTGAATATATAGATGAATGCGTCATTTATGAAGATGCGATTAATATTTTGAAAAACATATATGTCAAGCCAAAGAATAAGATATTTGCCACACACTCATTATCGTCAAGAAAACAACAAGTTGGTGCGAGTCTATAGATCAATATTTACAAGCCCTGAAGCTCATAAGCCAAGACTGCAATTTCAAAGCAGTCAATGCAGATCAAAATAGGGACAATTACATCAGGCATACTTTCATAACTGGTCTTACTTCTTCTCATATAAGACAGAGGCTTTTGGAACATTGTACTTTGAGCTTAACACAAGCATTTGATACTGCTAGAGCACTTGAAATGGCTCAGCAACATTCCGAAGCTTATCTTACACCTTTCTGTTCAAAATATGAATGCTGCGTTCTCTCATCAAACTCCTGACAATTCTTCTTCGAATGTACAGATCGAAAATGACCATGCTGTCGCTTCTAAATGCTATTTTTGTGGTAGATCTAGACATGCCAGAGATAAATGTCCAGCGAAAAATTCTATTTATTACAACTGCGGAAATAAAGGTCATTTCACCCAGGTCTGTCAATCCAAAAATCAAAAGCCCCATTCTACTAAGATAACAACTGCTGCTCTTTTGATGGGGATATCTGGAATTACTTCTCCTGTCAGTTTATCAAAAGCCCATCAATGGATTTATGGCCAAGGCACTGGTCGACACAGGAAGTTCGGATAGTTATATTTTCGGTACAGTTGTAAAAGAAAAACATATGAAAATTTTTCCTACAACACTGAACATTACAATGCCATCTTCAAATTTTAACTCTTTGGTACGTGGATTTTGCAAAGCTGATACAAAGATATTTGACAATATCTATAAAAATACCAGACTTTACATTCTAGAAGAACTATGTGCTGATATTATAATTGGACATGATATTCTCAAACAACATTCAGGAGTAGAATTCAGTTTCGGGGGAAGTAAACCACCGATCTCCATATGTAATTTGACTATCGCTAAGGTAGAACCATATCCATTATTCGAACATTTGGCAGAAAATTGTAAGCCTATTGCAATTACATCTCGCAAATACTCCACAGTTGATTTAAAATTCATTGAAGCTGAAGTACAAAGACTTTAAGAGGAGAAAATAATCGAGCCAAGCAATTCCCCGGGGAGGGCCCAGGTGCTAGTGACCAGTAATTAAAATCATAAGAAGCAAATGGTTATAGACTACTCATTGACCATAAATAGATATACACATTTGGATGCATACCCGTTACCCAGGATTGAAGATATGGTCAACCAAATTTCTCAGCATGAATATTTCAATTCGATAGATCTTCATAGTGCATATTACCAGATTCCAATTCTAGAGCATACACTGCCTTTGAAGTATGTGGAAATCTATACCAATTCACTCGAATTCCTTTTGGAGTGACTAATGGCGTTGCTTGTTTTCAGAGAAATATGAATAACATTATCAAACAAGAACATTTAGAAGACACATATGCATTTCTTGACGACGTAACCATCTGTGATAAAAATAAAGAGCATCATGATACAAATCTTAAACGATTTCTAGAAGTTGTTAAGAAATATAATCTGACGCCTAACAAAGAGAAATGCAACTTTGACATGACTAAAATTAATATACTAGGGCATACAATAGAACGAAAATGAATCAAACCAGATATAATAGACAGACTTAAACCACTGATTCAGTTGCCACTACCTACTAATACTCAGTCGCTCAGGAGAGTCAAGGCATGTTTGCCCATTATTCCAAATTCATTCATATGTTTTCTGGGAAAATGCATCCACTGATTCGAGTTAAAAAGTTTCCATTGTCTGCTTGTGAAGCTGCTGCATTTGAACAGTTGAAAACTGATATACAAAACGCTGTTGGTATTTCCATTGACGATGAAGACACTTTTACTGTTGAAACTGACGCATCGGAATATGCTATTGCATATGCTTATATAGTTTGGAAAACCAGTGGCGTTTTTCTCTAGAACATTGACGAAATCGGAACAGCGACATTCTTCCGTAGAAAAAGAAGCTTATGCTATAGTGGAAGCACTTCGTAAATGGAGACATTTTCTGATCGGACGTTACTTTAAGCTCGTAACTGACCAGAAATCGGTCGCTTTTATGTTTAATTCACTTAGTAATTCTAAAATCAAAAATGAAAAAATAATGCGGTGGCGTCTGGAACCATCATCTCATAAATATATCATATACAGATTTGGAAATCAAAATATCGTGCCAGATACATTTTCAAGAATATTTTCTGCGATTTTACTTACTAGTGACAAAACATTGTATAATCTATATAATTCTCTCTGTCATCCTGGTATAACAAGACTGTATCACTGGGTCCAATGTAAGAATCTACCTTTCTCACTAGACGATATCAAGAGAATTTCAGCCACCTGTCCCATTCGTGCTGAGATCAAACCAAGGTTTCATAGAAATCAAGGGATCATCATAAAAGTTACTACCCCTTTCGAAAATGTGGATTTTAAAGGTCCATTGCCATCTGAGAACCAAAACCGCTATATTTTGACTATTGTGGATGAATTTTTTAGATTCCCATTTGACTTTGCTTGTCCTAACATGACTTCATCAACTATTATAAATTGCTTAACTCAACTTTTTTCTGTTTTTGGGACACCATCGCCTGTATAGGATAGAGAGACATCATTTATGTCTAAAGAACTGAAAACATTCTTAACACGACATGGGATTGCAACTAGTCGCACTACTCCTTATAGCCCACAAGGAATCGGATAGTATGAACGATATAATGGTATTAAATGGAAAACCATTCAGTTAGCTCTAAAATCAAGAAACATGGATGTAAGACATTGGCAGCAGTCGACTCTTTACATTCAATAAAGTCTTTGTTATGTACAGCAACAAATTGTTCACCGCATGAAAGAATGTTCTGTCATCCTCGAAGATCTACAAATGGTTCTTCAATTCCAACCTGGTTGAGTAGGTATTCCTGCTCCAGTCTTCCTAAAGAAGCATGTTAGGCAAAGCAAGTATGAACCGATCTTGGAAGAAGTGCAACTCGTAGAAGCTAACTCCGATTATGCTCATATCAGATTAGCTAATGGTAAAGAAACAACTGTGTCAACATGCCACCTTGCGCCAAGAGGAGATTCTGTTCTACATCAAAAAACGCCGAATGAAGATATGAATGTGGAATGTAGAACATATAGAAATGAACCTAATGATCAAAACAACGACCAATGTAGTGAACCAGATCCCATTCCCATTCAACAACTCAATCACAATGATTCTGATGCTGGAAACCTTGATGGGATACCTGTAACACCATTAAGGAATCTATAGGCGATGAAGTTGTAGAAAATATAACTGACTATTCCTTGAACCGACCAAAACGTCAAAAAAAGCCTTCTGTCTATTTGAAAGATTATAAAACCGACTAGGGGTGAATGTTATAAATTTAGAAACTTTTAAAATGTCCTGTATTTTATATCTTGTTACCTTTATTATTTGTCAACCTTGACAGTTTGTCAATGTTAGTTATATGCTCTGTATAGTAATATTCTGAGTTTATTAAAGCCTGTATTCTAGAGGTTTTCTTTTACTTCAAACCGTTTTAGAACCGTCCTTTTTTCGAACCAAAACAAAGCTATAGTGTCTATTGCCCTAACAAATGATTTGATGTAGTTTAATCGTGGCCTCTCTTAAATAAGAAAAAATCAGTAATATCCATTTTTTGAACTATTGAAAAGTTTTCACCCGCTCGTGGGATTCAACCTACAATATCCTTCAAATAAAAATCGCAGTTTTTGCTTGCTTCCTTGGTAACTTATGTTGCCAAGATATCACGATTGCTTTGATTCTCCAGGTTTTTTTCTCGTTTGATTGAAAAAATGTTCCTGTTGCTGGTTGCAGGCTGCAGCATTTCCTATAATCTCAATGGATTTTGCTGATGATATTCATTCCTAATCCGATAATGTTCTCGACAGACTCAAACCCTGTCACAGCATGTTTTCATGTGGACGTTACATTTTAAATTCGCGTCGATTGTCTTGATGCATCATCCGCCTAATTGAGCTTTGCTGCAATTTGCTTTTTCTGGTTTAGCGCAGGATTGCAAACTACCTATCTTTCGATTTCAGAGGCTCAATGCTCAAGGACAGTTGGAAAGATAAGAAAATGCCTTCATCTGTTTTACTTCCTTCTTTCCTTCTTATCATATTTTTTTATACCCTCACTGTATTATTTATTTATGAACAATTATTATTATTTGTTTTTATTTTACCCTAGAAATCTACTACGAAATAATATGATAATGCTCAAAAGCTTTCATGGGTATTGATCAATGAAGCAGGCTTCAGTATAAACCAGTATATAGTTATTTAATTTACACACATTGTTCGGATTTTATGTAACAATAATTCAATAACTCATATGCAACTTATTGCATTATTCATCGACATTTTCAGATTTATTTAGTAACGATGAAATAATAATGGGAGATAATTACCATCATAAAGAAGCCGAAAACGGTAAATGATTTCTCGCGTTTATGAATTTTTGTATGTTACATTGTCCCTATACTTTCTCTTTGTTAAACACCTGTACGTAATGGGTTAAAACCAATTTTGGATTATTAATAAACTTAAATTCATTGGCATGGCAATGACATTATTGCCATATATGCAATAACTAATTACACATAATATGAAACAAAAAAACAAGGGACTTTTAATTTAATGATGCATATATCTTTTTTGCACTTTGTTGAAGAAACAGGATTTTGCAATAAGTATAATTGGCTTGAGACGTGATAATGTAAGATCTTTTTTTCGAGTTACTTTAATAATGATAACCTACAAGCCATGAAAATTTACTGAGTGGATATTTTTAAATGTAGGAAGATCTAAAAAATTATATTTTTTTTCTAAGGAATGATGGTTCTGTGGTCAACTGTCATTGTAGTCCTTATGGCATTGGTGAACCAGAGTGCCAAGGGCGCCATAACAGACGTGGAAGCCCGAAAATTCGTACCGCCGATACTCTTGGTCAAGTTGTTCCTTATTTTGCCAGAAGTGGTCCTCAACGTTTTTGGGACCATGTGGGCTTTTTGCCGAGACACCGTCGAATGCCCTTATGAAGGAAACTTTTCTAGAACCGTCGTCGAAGGTAACAACTTTTTTTATCTTACAAATTGAAATTGGTTTAAACTCTTTGGATAAGGTTTAAGAACATTTGAGGAATCGATTCAGGTACAAAATAGAAGGGTGCACTATTTTTTATTGACGCGCACCTTCTATAACCTAGTCGGAGAACGAGACGTCTAGGATGCACCATGCACCCTCTATAACACTCGCGAACAACCGCCTAAAAAAATTGATTCTTATGTAAATTGGCCTGGCGGATCTGATTCTGGAGTTCGCCAGTCAATCTGGAATTGCGAAACTGGTCAAAACCCGCATTTTCCAAAAAATCATACATTTTATGGATTTTTTAAAATTTATACTTAGCTGTATCTCCCTTAGTTTTAGTCCGATTGAATTGAAATTTTTAGGAGAGCCAATTTAGACCTTTTTTATCATGACTGACAGAATAGAAATGCAAAAAAAAAATTACGTACGAGTCACCATAATATATTTTTTTTAATTAAGTTGGTGACACTAAAATTGTTAAAATTGCAGCCATAAACACTCGATCAGAAAACTTTGTTGTTTTTGGAGATAGATGTATAGGTACGTATAGTAAGGGACAAAGTTGTAGCCAAAGAACCAAAGAAGTTTTTTTATTCTTGTGATTTTTTTGTGATAACTTACTCAGTTTTCAAGAAAACGGATCCCCAATATACGAAAAAACTATCCTGGCTCCGGCAGGCGGCGTATATAGGTACAGCAGCACAAGCGGTCGCGGTGCGTATTGTAGTTTCAGAGGGCCGGGATTTGTATTGCACTAATAATAGCTGCTTACGATCAAGCACTTTTCTTACCTAACTTGAAGAATCTAACTAAGTTGGGCGTACGATTTGTCACAACTAAGTTAGAATCTGCCTTCCCCCCTTACCCCTGCTAAGACACCCGGATTTTTAACTGAGATAACTTAGCTGACCTAAGTTGGCGCCAAGTACGCATTTTTTGAATTTTTGACGTTTAATAATTTCTAAATTGAGGTTATATTTCTTTATTTTTGTTTTGTTGAAAGTTGGTCGTTGGAACAGGAACTTTGAAAAGGTGTTTAGCTCGGTGTTTAGTTTAATGAAATTAATTATTCATTATTGCCATTGCACAAAATGGAATATGAAACTTTCAAAGTCAGTTTTAAACACATATACAAAATAACGAGATATGAATTACGCGTACGATCAAACAACTTAGCTCAACTAAGAAACTATAGTTTATGCCCCTCACTACCTAAATCCCAAACGGCAGAATCCAGCATTTATTAGTTTATGACTGACAAGCGTGTTAGTAGGTCGCGTGGTCTAATATACCCCATTGTGTGTTGCGAGTAACTTATTTGTGAATATACTTTTTGTATATATCGAATAATTTGATACCAATTGTACCAGTGTTTGTATTTTATTTTACTTTATTGATAAGAGAATTTATTAGATTTTATTCAAGAATATTTGTTTTCGTTGATAGAAAGTTATTTTTCCACTAAAAATTTTTTTAAAATTTTTTTGTATAGGTACAATGTAACAGAATATTTATTTGTTTTTTAGTACAAAAATATTAATTTTTCAAGTGTTAGGTTTTGCTTTTTGAACAAATATTATTATTATCAATATCCTAAAACGTGTATACTTTTTTTTTTTGTTAAGAACCAGCAATAAATGCTTGGGGTATCATACACCCCAGTGTGTGTTTCGTGCTTTCAAAAAGTATGTGTGTGTACGGAGGGTTAAATGGGTATTTTAAACCCAAACATAGACCTTGAACGAAATATTCACCTAGAAATGCTCAAACCTTTTTTCAAAAAAAATTGTGCAATGAGAAAGTTGTTATTTTTTAATTTTTTTTCAATAATACAATTTTTATTTTTTTTTATTTACATATAGTCCGGGAGGTTGTGACACCTTTGGACTAGTGATCGATCTTCACACGAATTTTTCAGCATGCGTAGTTCTCCACATGAACATATGAGATCCGTGCGTCAGTCAGTCCAATAGCTGTGGGTGTGGATGTGGGAGTCTGTGGAACTCGTCGGAAAAACTATGAAAAAAAGTAAATAATCTGAACAAGAAAATTTGTTACAATGGTAATTATTGATAATTAAACGTGAAAATGTTCGTCAGTCACGCTTCCGACGGGGGAAACATGGTCAGTCAGAGGTTTGAAGCAGTCGGAAAAGTTGAAAAATTGAAGTGACCAATCTTCACTTGAAATTTTATAGAATGATTATTTGAATCAAATCAAGCATGAAAATGAACGTCAGCCACCTTGATCTTGGTGGATTCTGCGTCAATCGGGTCAATGACCAGGTTTCTTTGGCGCGCTGCATCTTATGCAGTTCGACTGACGAATAATCCACCAGCCGCGTGCCGACTGACGATTGTTTATCGAATGTCTAAGACAATTCTCAACTTACAGGAGAAGGGAAAAAAACTGCAAGAGACGTTTATTATAGAATGTTCACAAAATCCTCTTCGGTTTGAGAGAGCGTTGAAGAAGAATAAAATCCTTACGTTTGCAGATGCAGTAGAAAAGAAGCAGATGAACGTCAATGGAAAAATTGTCGAGCTAAAATTGCAAAGAGATTTGTTTGGAAAGAGAGTATCGTGGGAGAAAAGAATGAATATCGAAAAAGTTTTGACTTGCACCTTAACTCTAGTTCCTTTAGCGTTTTGCCACTTGGTAGCAACAATATGTAAAATCGATATATCCGTTTTACTGTATATTCTGGAGAAAGAAGTGGAAAGTCATGAGCCCGAACAATGTGACGTCATCGTTTTCGATGGTTTTCACACAGTCCACGCTATGACAGAAATTGCTGTATCTTTTGGAAACATTTCACAGAAAATCTTACATTCTTTCACTGCGAACCGCGCAAAAACCATCATTATTGCGTTCGATCGTTACGTTTCCCCATCGATAAAAGATAACGAGCATATAATGCGTAGAAGACTAGAGGGAAATCGTTTTACTATCAATGGACCTCAGCAGAAACGATCATCGAATTTCAAAAACGATTTGAATAATACTTATTTCAAGGAAGCGTTGGTGAGATTTTTATGTGAACATTGGAATCAGGACCATATGAGTCGTTACTTTGGTGACCGAACTGTTTTCGTAAACTATAAGAAATGTTTCAAGTTCGAAGTCATTGATAATAAGGTTGTCAGAACAGTAGAGGAAGATTTGTTATGCTCTGAACATTTGAAAGCTGACTCTAAAATTTTTTTTCACGTCTGCGAGTTGAATTTCGATGCTCATGTAACGATACGATATTCAGACAAAGATATAATTGTGATTATGCTCGGTAACATTCATATAATCACACATAATTTACAGATTTCGATTCTCACAGGACTAGGAAATAATAATCGTTACATAGACGTCACAAAAATATATTAAAAAATTAGGTGAAGACTTGAGTGAAGCGTTGCCAGCTTTCCATGCTTTCACTGGATGCGACTTCAACGCCGCTTTCTATCGTAAGGGGAAAAAAAAGCCTTACGAACTTCTAAAAAAATCAAGAAATTATATCGATACCATTATTGCTATTTCACAATGGTATGATGATGATTTGAGTGAACATTTTTCTGTTTAATTATCAAGAGAAGTTCGTGTCCTATTGGTATCCAATGAAGGGGGGTGATTCGTCGGTTAGGACAAAAAATAAAATGCCTGTTAAGTCTTTGCCAACGTTTCGCCCAAAAATTTAGGGCTTCATCAGGGCTAAAATATATGTATATTAAGAACATCAAAAAAGTGCTAACAAAAAATCAAGTTTACATACCTTGTACTTAAAAAATTATGTGGCCAGAATTATATAAAATAGTGCGAGATTTTCAGGATGGAACACTCGATTCCACATAACAACATCACAATACATTGATAAAATTGTGAAAAGACGGTAAAAACACAAAAAATATAAAAATATAAAAATAAAATAGAAAAAATTACAAAGATTGAGTGTGATTAGTCTATTTTATTTTTATATTTTTTTATCTTTATATTTTTATATTTTTTGTGTCTTTATCGTCTTTTTACAATTTTATCAATATATTGTGATGTTGTTATGTGCAATCGAGTGTTCCATCCTGAAAATCTCGCACTATTTTATATAATTCTGGCCACATAATTTTTTAAGTAGGTACAAGGTATGTAAACTTCATTTTTTGTTAGCACTTTTTTGATGTTCTTAATATAGGTACCTATATTTTAGCCCTGATAAAACCCGAAACGTTGGCAAAGACTTAACAGGCCTTTTATTTTTTTGTCCTAACTGACGAATCACCCCCCTTTATTTTTCTGTTTTGGAGGGTTTTGTATGTCAAATGTATGGGTACAAAACATTGAAAGATGTTAGCTCAGCTCGTTTGGCAACGTTCATGAAGACATACAAAATCAAAGATAATGAGGCTATTCTGAAAACAGAAAGCAATTTCGAATGGTCAGCTTTACCGTCGTGTTAGTCTGAATTATACCAGCATTTCTTAAGAACTTCGCACATTGCGCAGATGTGGTCTCATGCTCCGCAGCACACAACAACTATAACTAGTCCGATTGATTATGGCTGGCAAGAAGAAGATGGAAAATATATTTTCAAGTGGTTCGATGGAGAACAGTTGCTTGACCTTCAAGATATCACCGATGATTTATCAAAAAATCTAACAGGTAATCAAAAATCATTTCACGTTACTGATCTATTATCTGTTTTCACTCTAAAAATCAGTATTATTGTCTAAAAGATGCTGACGGAGACGAAGAGTAATCAGATTATGACGATGACGATGAAAGCTCTACAGAAGAGTCGGACAGCCAGAGTGATAGTGAAACCGATTAATTTCATAAGATTTTTGTATTAGCAATAAAAAAAGATTGATATTTCAGTGAACGCAATATTTTAATTTAGAAGAATAGTGGTAGTAACTGTTCATGAATTGAATTTAGTTATTTGAATCATTGAGTCATTAGAATTGATCAAAAAATGGAAAAGTCTCATGCACATTCAATAAACAATCGTGAGTCGGCACGATGCCGGTGGATTATTCGTCAGTCGAACTGCATAAGATGCAGCGCGCCAAAGACACCTGGTCACTGCCCTCAACTTTGGAAACCCGACTGACGCAGAATCCACCATGATAAAGGTGGCACGTTCATTTTCATGCTTGATTTGAATCAAATAATCAATCCATAAAATTTTAAGTGAAGATCGGTCACTTGAATTTTCCAACTTTTCCGACTGCTTCAAACCTCTGACTGACAATTTTTCCCCCGTCGGAAGCGTGACTGACGAACATTTTCACGTTTAATTATCAATAATTAACATTGTTAACAAATTTTCATGTTCAGATTATTAGCTTTTTTTCATGGTTTTTCCGATGAGTTCCACAGCCTCCCACACTCACACCCACCGCGGTCGCGCTGACTGACTTTCAATTTTGATCTCAGTAATGGTGAAACTCTTCAATAAATCACATTTGAGTCGGAGATAAATCACTAATAAAAAAGTGACACTACCTCCCGGACTAATATGCAACAACTGATTACTGATTTTATTTTTCACACATAGGTAGATTTATTTATTTTGTACAAGCATTTCAATGACAGGAAACATCTACTCTATTAAGCAATGAAATCGTTTTTTTTTTTTTTTTTTCAAAAAACCTTCCTCCATTTTTGCTAAATGATCGATCCGCGCGGCGGACTTTAACTGGTGATTGTAAATTGAAATATAAGAGTACATGACATTTTGTATCTATATTAAAGACAGTGAAAATATAGGTAGATTAATGAGTAGATCGTCCATTACATCCTAACTGCGATAAAGTATAATAATTGAGTTCAAGTATGAATGTATTTACCGTACAGTACAGATAATAAATTCCAGCATTTTATGTAGTGTGGTTCACTATAGCACAGATTACCTACATACAGATGCGAAAGAGCGGCGAATTCGTGGTTCAAGATTAATTTGATAGACATAGGCTGGCGGCACCAATGCCACATCAATGTATTTTGAACATATTTATTATATAAATACGGAAGCTCAATAATATAATATTATTTCTTTAATTAGTTCACAAACAGCAAAAAAATATTCTTTTTTACCCGCAAAAATATGTAAACACACAGGCTGGAACATGCTCACGCACTCGGCCACGTTAATTGTCCTGACGCGGGCGATCTTTATCTAGCGTGGGGTTGCTGGCAGCCCGGCTTCGTCACAGAATATCGTCGACGGCAAGTATACGTACTTTCGTATCTGTATATAGTCTAGGAAAATTGTCGATTTTCAACAAAAAAAAATCCTACCCAAAAAATTTTTCAGGGATGATAGGGGGAGGGTGGGTGATCATAAAACCGAAAATATCAAACATTCACCCCTCTGGCGTTTTGCGCTATAGGGGTTGAAAGTGCGCCATTGGCGATTACTTGGTACCTATTGATTTTCCAAAAAAATGTTTCAAATAAAAGATGTGCAACATTATTTGATCTACAATGTTTATCTAAAGACTTTTTTGATTAAGGGCCGTCTGTGGTCATAAGGGCCGTTTGAAATTTTATAATGAAAATGAAAAATTTTAACCAACGTGAAAAAAATTTCTACAACTCATACAACATTTTTGCTTTATGAAGTTTTTACTCACCCCCTGCCGTTTTTCAATAAGGGTAGTTTTAAGTTTTTTTATTTTTTTACAAAAAAATTTTCTTAATAAAAGTTTTATAAGATCACATTTCCTACAATTTTTCCTGATCAATTTTTTTTGTAACTCACCCCCATTCAGCGGGTGGATACTTCCCTCGGGGAAATTTTAGTTTTTAGGGGTATACAGAGTGTCCCACTAAGGTCGGTCAGGTACGATATTATGGAGACCATAGACCTCACGTAACTTGAAAACGAATGCAGATATTGAATTGCGGTTTTTTTGCTCTTTAAGCACAGCAATACAAAAATAATATTATGCCATTTGGATTTTTCATGAAAATTAGGATAAACTGGATCTTGAATAAACAGCGCCCTCTAGCAGACGCGGTGGGAACTATCGACCTCGAACGAAGTGGTGTTCTTAATAACAATGAAATTCTCTTCCAAATAAACCCAAATTGAATGAGTTTGAATGAGGGGTATGGAAGATACAGCAATTTCTAAAAAAAAAATTTTATATTAATTTTTTTTTCCTTTTCTCGCCTTAAGTGCATATAAAAAGTTGCAATTAACATTGTTTTGAAAGGATTTTTTTTTCACCACCTTTTTGTTTTTAGGGGTAGTTCGCCTATTTTCAACTTTACAAAAAAAAATTATTAAGAAAACTTGTTCATTTTATTATTTTGAGCAACTTTTCTCTATAACTTTTTTTGCAAAGTTGAAAACAGGCGAACTACCTCTAAAAACAAAAAGGTGGTGGAAAAAAAATCCTTTTAGTACAATGTTAATTGCTTAATATATACCCCTAAAAACTAAAATTTCCCTAAGGGAAGTGTCCCCCCGCTGAATGGGGGTGAGTTACAAAAAAAGTTGATTGGGAAAAATTGTAGGAAATGTTATCTTATAAAACTTTTATAAGGAAATTTTTTTTGTGAAAAAATAAATAAATTATAAACTACCCCTATTGAAAAACGGCAGGGGGTGAGTAAAAACTTCATAAAGCAAAAATGTTGTATGTGTTGTAGAAAAATTTTTCACGTTGGTTAAAATTTTTCATTTTCATTATAAAATTTCAAACGGCCCTTATGACCACAGACGGCCCTTAATCAAAAAAGTCTTTAGATAAACATTGTAGATCAAATAATGTTGCACATCTTTTATTTGAAACATTTTTTTGTAAAATCAATAGGTACCAAGTAATCGCCAATGGCGCACTTTCAACCCCTATAGCGCAAAACGCCAGAGGGGTGAATGTTTGATATTTTCGGTTTTATGATCACCCGCCCGCCCCCTATCATCCCTGAAAAGTTCATTGCATTGCAATACATGTATTTTTCGACTATTTTCCTAGACTAAAAAGGTGATCTGTGACTATAGTAGAAAATCTATGATAATCTTTCTGTAACTTATTGAAGTACATGCAAGTAGATCCAGTGGTCATACACAAGAAGCTTTCCTTGATATTTATCATCATCTTCAAAACATTTGCCTCATGAAGGATTTTCTCATGATACCTGCAGAATAACAGAATTTGTACATGTTTACTTATAAAAAACAATCATATCAAGCCCTTTCTCTTGCAGACCTCCCTAGGCTATTTTTAGCAGCTTTTGTATTTAATTATCATATCACCTGTAAAATTAGCGTCCAACGAATGCATTCAACTGGAATTGGTGAATGTTCGATAAAAAACGTGCTATCGCGATATTTTTCGTCGAAACACGCCTATAAATATGACAAAATTGTTTTTAAGAATTATATAATATAATCTAAGAACCGCGATTAACATTCCAAAATCGCTTTTGATGTCTCGACATAGGTACTTAATATTGACTTCTTTATCAAAAATACTTTTTATCTTTGTACTAGCCTTGGTCATCTTTAACTGGGTCCTTTTTGGCCTAGCAATTTTTGGCCTTGTAATGGTATTTGACCCGTTGGGCTCCAAAAGGTACCACGAAGTTCAAGAAACACCAAGCGCGGGCGAATCATTGCGCCACAGAAAAAGTACCAGCATATGGAAGCGACGTTTCCGTTGGGCCTTTTGTTGGGTGCGTTCAGACGAACATGGGCATGAGGCATTTCAACAGGTGGGTCACTTAATTATTATAGATACCTCTCCTAATGTTTATTTATAAAATTCTCTTTCGATGAAAAATCATAAACTATATACCTACCGAATATTTATGTTCCAAAGATCACAATTGATTATTAGTTATTGAAAGATCATATTTTATGACAAGTCATAATCTTCGGTCATGATCTTCAATACTTTTCTCTGTTCTATCATTGAGACATAAAATTCACCGAAAACGTGGTACCTACCTAATATTTCAGTTCATTTAACATATCGGTGGTACCTACGCGGTTGACTGTTTTTTTAAATCAATTTCCTATTGCCTGCTTACTTTTTGAGTATTTATTTTTTTAGAATATTGTCCATAGGTCAAATTGAAGCCTTGGAAACAAACAATACGCCCCGCAATATTCAAATGAAAATTGGTTACCCGTGATATTTGGATGAAATATAATTATGTCATTGGGGATGATGATGATGTGAGCACCATTTTTCAACATGAGCACAACCTTGTATATATGACAGGTGAGTCGGTGTTAGCTGTCAAATATTGGAATCTTTCATCCAAAAGCAGAGTAACTATGACAGATTTTGATAAACGAAATATCGATTACTACGAAGTCGTAATATGAGTAATGCAGTTTTGGCACGGTTTTGACAGGTGTTACCTTGGTCGACTTCGTCGATATTTCGTTCATCAAAATCTGCCATGGTTACTCTGCTTCTGGATATAAGATTCCAATTTCCAATATTTGACAGCTAACACCTCCTCACCTGTCATATATACAACGTTGGGCCCAAGGTAAAAAATGTTGCTTACGGCAACCTCAATAACAAAAAAATTAAATCTCATCCAAATATCACGGGTAACTAATTTCCATTTAAATATTGGGGGGTCCAAATTTGTTTCCAAAGCCATCTCGATAATTTGCATGTGTATGTAATTTGAATAGTGATGAGCCGGGCAATGCAACACGTTAACAACTTCATCGGCCAAAATTTAAATAAAGAATATAGAAAGAAACAAATTTATTATTTCACGCAAGCATAATCTTTTTTTTTATTGATGCAACAAAAACCTTCTTCTTAAATTTAAAGTAAGTCATTAAAAGCAATTAGCCGAAACATTGCAATTCTTTATTTTGCCGTGACAACCTCGGTAAAGTGAACCATTATTCTGGGCAAAGTGTACCATGACCCGGACAAACGGAACATTACTGGCAGTTATTACATTTATAAATGCCTTGGCCTTCCTAGGAAGTGCAAGCGTAATGGGATCAGCCTTCATACCCTGAACACTGAATCCAATATTGTTGTTTTTCCATTAGTTGTCTTCACATAAAAACTGCACATAACATACAATCACAAAATAATAATAACAGGCGATCCTCCCGAACAAAATATCATTTATAATCACATACAAGACGAGATCAAATTAAAAGTAAAGCGAGTTGCTCGTTTTCAAATTTCTTTTGAAAGCAGTTACGTTTTTTATCATCTAATATTTTAAGGGCAAACTATTATATAATCTTAGAGATCTGATAGACTCGTCTTCGTGTATCGATAATACCTTCTATATTAGTGTGTCTTTTCCCGCCTGGAACATCAAATATGAAAAACCTGAAAGTGTAAGCATTACCCCCTTTGACCTTTGACCTACGGATATAAAAAGAAAATCTTTGATGGAAAGTAGGAATATTAATTAGGCTTTTTTAGTTTCTTCTTCAGCCTTTTGAAAACAACCTGCATAGTACCAGATGTATTGATAACTCCTTAAAACATTCTTTGTTTTTGTGTTCATTTGATAATTTATTATCCCTGTAAATTTCAATTTTTTAGGTTGCTGCCTTACTCAGCGCACTGTTTCGCAGTACTGACCTGGTACCATCTGACGTTCTAGCTGGTTGCGTCTTATTGCGTATTAAACAAAAGCGAGAAACGCGCGAAATGCGACGAATTTACATGTTGTCCGATGACGAACCCAAGTATTCAACAGGTAAAAGTAAAACCATTTCACGAGTTAACCCCCATTATGTATTGAAGCATCAGAAATAAAAAGGGAAAATAACTTTCAATTTCATAGCCTCTAGAACTACACCCTCAGTTTTAATTTTCTCCATAAAAAATGTCCAAAAACCTCAACACTGATTTTTTTTATGTAAAAATAAATGTTGAGGACTGACAAATAAAAAAATATGAAAATATGTATTATAATAGGTAATTATTGTTTTTAAGTAATTATAACCACATACAGAGCAGATCTGGTATTAAACCAAGATTAAAACGCGATATTATCATTAAATAAATAATCGAGGCATCTAATTAATTTGTAATTAAAGCAATTTTATGGAACTAATTTAATATAGCTCACGATGTATCTAAAGTAAATTACATTTAAGTAGGTAGCTATTTGAATATAATGAGCTAGTAAACCACATGTTTGATTTTTTGTAAGCAATATTTACCTTATATATTTTACAGACATAAATAAGGTATTTTCCATTGCTCCACGATGGATGAACCTGGAAAACGCTCGCCATTTTCTTCGATTATCCATGGCCGCTTATGGATGGCCTTTTGTCATGTACTTACATTGCACTACTGGACTGTTCCGGATACTCAACAATGTAGCCTGTTGTTCGTGTTTTGGTCAACCCCGATATACTTTGGTTGTCGATGACAATTGTTGCTTCTGTCACTTGGCCGGAGTTAAATACATATCGAAAATTGACGAGGAAGATATATTGTTTGCTTCGTTTAGGAATCATGTATTTGAGGTAATAATTTTTGAATTGTAACTATCAAACTCTTTCACTAGTTATTAAAGGTGCTGCTGATAAAATTATGTCACTATTTTCATATTTATTACTGGTATCCATGATACACAAGTAACAGATAACGATTTCGATGGACTACCAATTAAATTTCCTTGTATAATTAAAAATAGATATTTGCCAACGTCTACCTAACTAGGGATTTAAGGTCAATACCAACAATGTAATAATGAACTTCTACTGAACAAACTTATGCATTTAGTGACAAACAGGAAGACATTATACGCAATGGAAATGGAAATTTATTTGAAGTGTTATAATAATTCTGTTGCACCCACCAATAATTTTTATGTAGTATTACAAAATATTGTCAGGGCTCTGGGGTGCGTGACATTAATCTTGGGTTCGTTTATTCCAAAATCAAAATCCAATTAACACAACAATAATTTATTCCACGTTACTACACACTCTGACACTAAGTACTTCACTAACTCAAACAACTCAACTCTTTACAACTTTTACAATAATCACTATCTAAAACGTATTACAGCCAATCTTAAACTTAAAAACTACTAACTAATACCGGCCTTTATATATCCGTAATCCGTTCTTGTAAAATCCAGAATAAACGCGATAGCCTCTTTTCCTGAATGAATGAGTATATTCTAGATTTTAGGTTGGATTCTCGACACCCTGGCGGATGCGCAACCGTCACAATACAGTTTCCTGATTATATGTTTCTGAACAAAAAAATCATGGAAAGTGTGATTAGGAGTAAAAAGATAAACTTCGATACCTACCACAGTCTATCAACTTGCCTGCTAGTGCTTTTAAAAAAGCTGGGCTCTCAATAGCCGCTTTCGGAAAGTGTGATCCAATTAATCGGTTCGATTGGATTAGTAATCTCATCGTTCGTAAAATAATCCGAAGTCGACTACTCACGTTCGGTAAGTGATCTTGTTGACTCGGTTTTCTCATATGTTTGTGATCTCGTTAACCCTGCTCTTGACGTGGGTAGAAAATTAATCTATCAGCTGTTTGATTTTTTTGGTTATGTGTTATGCTGATTTTATATGTTTTTGTTTTGTCAAGTTTTGTGTTTGAATTCTTGTGATTTGTTGTGTTTGGGGTGGTTTGAATTGTAGCGTCTTCGAAAAGTAAAAGGCAATGGTCAAAGGTAAAGACCTAACCTCAAATCGTTGAAGAAAAACAAAAAAACAAACGCTGATGCCAGCGATCGTCGATCCCAATCGTTCGGAAACGTTGAATTATCTACTCTGAAAACGAGCTAAACCGCGATGCTGATATTAACCTACTCGATCCAGGATTTACATTTCCGAAAGCACCTAATGATATACGGATGCAAAATGGAAAGGAAGACTACTTTGTGGAAAAAAAAAACCACTATGGAACACGAAAGCGAAGGGCTCTATCGGTTTTTGAGTCCTGGTTCTTTCAAACTTCCAGTCATCAGTCCCCTATTAGTATTTATTATAGCCTGACGCAAAATAAATTCAGATTATATATATATATATATATATATATATATATATATATATATATATATATATATATAATATATATATAATTTTTGTCATTTTAAATGAGGAATGTTCTCCCTATTAATGTCAGTTGAGCTTCAAAACCAATAATTTTTCGTTCAAGCGTGTTCTCCTCACAAATTTTTTGTTTCCATAAGTAATCAACCATATTTTTGATGCTGCTTTTTTTTCATATTACCCCTGAAAATTTAAAAACTCGAGCCGAGTCCTAGGAAATCATAAAACTCTGTAAACTAGAAAACTGCTGCATAAAAATCGTCAGTGCCAAGCGTTGCTTTAGAAGCTTTAGATATCTGAAAAAAAATAACAATAACGAAAAACTGTCGAGAGTGTCAACTTTTATTTGATTGTTCTGTGTTTCACCTTAGGCCCAATACAGACAAAGCAACACGACATAAACACGATATCCGAGCAACATGTCGCTCGAATGTTGCCGACGTGTGTCGGTATCCAGACGAGGCGGTCCGATATGAGATCGGAACACAAAACCAAATTGCCAGTTTATTTAAAGATGTCCAGCAGTGAGGAAGAAGACATGCTTGTCTATTTATATTTGCGCGAAATCGGAGAAGAAGAAGACGACGAAAATATTGGGTACATCCTTACATCAGGAGGAACAAGAAAAGAAAACATGTTGACAAGCAACTTGTAGCCGCCTTGTTGTATCCCTTTCATATCGTATCGCGTCTTGTGAAAACCTGCATTTGTATATAGCGGTGACATACGAGCAACATGTTGCTTAAATATCGTGTTGCTTCGTCTGTATTGGGCCTTAGATCGCCTAAGTAATCCTAATGTATTTCTTAGCTGCCATTCTGTGTCATAGCAGATCATAAAACAGCCAACATAGTAGTAGCAATAAGAGGATCAATATCGCTTCGTGATATTTTTACTGACCTGACAGCAGATTCTGACAAATTTGAGGCTGATGGTCTCCCTGAGGATACTATGGCTCACAAGGGTATGATAGCTGGGGCTATATATATTGCCAAAAAACTTAAAGAGGTAACCCTCAGTTGGATTTACTGAGTTTTTCCTATGTAGTTGAATTATTTCAGGTTGCTATATTGGAAAAAGCCTTATCTATGTATTCTTCTTATGGATTGGTATTGACTGGTCATAGCTTAGGAGCCGGAGTTGCTTGCCTTTTGGGATTCAAAATCAGACCCAAATACCCAGATCTCAAAGTATATGCTTTCGGTACTCCCGGTAAGTAATTTAAGAAGATGGAAATACAAATATATAATAATTTCTTCTAGCTGGGCTATTGAGTCGAGAAGCAGCCAGATTATCAGAAAGCTTCGTTTTTACTGTAGGGGTTGGAGACGACTTTGTAATGAGGCTTGGAGTGGATAGCATTGAAAACCTTCGCACTGGAATCATCCAGACTCTACATGCTAGTAGATTACCGAAGGTATAATTACATTTGCGCCTATCTGTGAGAGCTATGCTCGATTTTTGTGAAATGAGGTACCTATTCAAGAGAAATAACCCCACATCAGAATTGGCTCAAATTCTGCATAGGCTTACTCTTTTTTTGTGAAAAGTGTGCAACATTGTACAGTGATTAGCTGAGGATGTAAAGTTGCCTAGAAGCCACGATAGATGAAGTGCTATTTTTCCGCACGGGAAAGCAGTTACACGCGAATTGTAGTTTGGGCAAGCCTTCGAGGGCGGGAGAGTAACTTTACCTATGTGTTAGGTACAAGGTTTCTCCTATAAGCTCTTATAGCTGGCAAAATATGGAAAACCGTATAAAATTGGCCTTATAAAAGATTTATAAGCCACAGATTTTTTGGGAAATTTTGTCCAATAAGTGAAAATGTTTATATTATTATGGAATTAAATCTGATATTTCTCTCGAAATTTTGCATACAAACATATGTATATAATATTACGACGAGCGATATAGTTTTCCTAGCCATACTGATGAGACCTGATAGGTCGAAACGCGTCTGTGGATGGAATAGCAGAGAAAATTGATCCAAAAATTTTCACATTAATCCAAAAATTTGTATGTAATATTATGTAGGTTCCTAATTATATTACTTATACAATAAATAAATTGGTAAAAATAATTTTTTAAGTCACAAGCTTTTATAAAATGCACTAAAAATTAAAAAATAATTTTCCAGCATTCCGATATTATCATAATAATAAAAGCGATGGCCGACTCATCAATTAAATATCACTATTTGCAAGAATCTGTCTAGCAGGAAAATACAAAGGTACCAAACCCACCCAACCCGACCCAAGATACCCCAGCATTTCTCTGACATAGGTATGGCAATGGCATAACATTGCGGCACATCAAACATATCTTTGATGACCTGTTATGTTGAATATTCTTTAAGTGTTTAGATCACAAATTTAGATTAACTTATGCTTTGATTTGCGGCCATCGCTTTTATTATTTATGATAATATCGGAATGCTGGAAAATTATTTTTAAATTTTTAGTGCATTTTATAAAAGCTTGTGACTTAAAATTTTTTTTAGTAGAGGTAAAAATATATTTTTTGTTTGGGCTGTATTGCCATCGGACCTTTATGCATATACCAAATTTTATAAAAGTCATTTTCAGTGAAGTGTGCCAAAACGCATTTTTCTATGGAAGGGGGTGGGGGTAGGGGTGGGAGGACATTTTTTTCTTATTGTTGTATTGTCATCGGACTACTATATGTATACCAAATTTCATCCAAATCGGATAATGGGAAGTGTGTCAAAAACACATTTTTCTATGGAAGGGGGTGGGGGTAGGAGTGGGAGGATATTTTTTTCTTAATATTGTATTGCCATCGGATCACTATATGTATACCAAATTTCATCCAAATCGGATAACGGGAAGTGTGTCAAAAACAATTTTTTCTATGGAAGGGGGTGGGGGTAGGGGTGGGAGGATATTTTTTTCTTATTGTTGTATTATCATCGGACCACTATGTGTATACCAAATTTTATACAAATCGGATAACGGGAAGTGTGTCAAAAACACATTTTTCTATAGAAGGGGGTGGGGGTAGGGGTGGGAGGATATTTTTTTTCTTAATGTTGTATTGTCATGGGACCACTATGTGTGTACCAAATTTCATCGAAATCGGATAATGGAAAGTATGTCAAAGACGCTTCACAAGATTTGATAGTTAGATAGTTAGACGGAACATGTGAAGCTAAATAAAAGCTTGTAAAAATAGCCCCATTCGTAGCCTCAATAATGTATTCAGAAATCATTTCTTCGTCTGAGAAATACATGTTGCTACTGAATCTACAGTCAAATTTACGGAAGCTCTGAAGGCTCAAAATTTAGGTACGTTTTTTTTTTTCACAACTCGGGATTATTCCTGAGATGATCTCAGGATTATTCCCTACTTACAGATTTATCTCAGGAATAATCCTGACTTTTTTTTTTTAAGTCGGCTTAGAAGCACTATCTCGGGATTAATCCTGAGATAATTTCTAAGTCGAGATTATTCTCGACTTATAAGTTTTATGTCGAGATTAATCCAGAGATAATTTTTAAGTCGAGATTATTCCCGACTTAGAAGCACTATCTCAGGATTAATCCCGACTTACAAAATATATTGTCAGGTTATCTCATGATACGGGATAGTATTAATTCCAATTTATCTCGATCATACATAGGCTTTGTGATTATGCATCATTAGGATTATGAATAACAATTATAAAATGGCCGAAATGTCTCAGTTCACGAAGTTAAATGTTTCCCTTAGCTTCCTTATAAAAGTACAGGTCAGGATTATTCCTGAGATAAATCTGTAAGTCAGGATTAATCCTGGGATCATCTCAGGAATAATCCCGAGTTGTGAAAAAAAACTAGTACCTAAATTTTGAGCATTCAAAGCTTCCGTACAAATTCTTTGATATAAGTATTGGAATATCTACTTCAAAACTATGTTTTCGTACCCAATAAACCCAATATTAAAAAAAATATTGTTTTTGATACAGGATGGGGCACAAACAATATCCCACGTCGCAGACACGTCAATTTCTGTTTTTTGGGGGACACATTTTATTGGTATCTTTACCTCCTATCTGTCAACACCTAAGCAGGGGTGACTGTACCCTCTAGATTTCAAATGGAAAAGAGGGTCAAATGATACGTCATTTGATAGCTATATTTATTAAGATTATTTCCCCAAAGTTTTAAGTCGCTACGCTACTATTTACCTTGCCAAAATGGCAGCTTGTCAAAGTTAAGAAAAATGTTTTTTTTTCCTATTATCTGAACTGTGTAGTTTTCACCTCATAACGGTTTCTTTTCGCCTTCTCTACCGGATAGGATATTTTGTTTTTTCGAAATTCGGAAAAAGTCAACTTCCAATTTTGGGGAATTCCCAGTAAAAATGTTCTTCTAGAATTTTTTCTAGCTCTAGGAGGGTTGGACGTGAAATTGTCAAGTGACTTTCTCGTTTTTTTTTTCTACCGGATGGGATATTTTGTTTTTTCAAAATTCGAAAAAAGTAAATTTTCAATTTTGGGGAATCCCCAGTAAATATTTGTTTCTGGATTTTTTCTAGCTTTAGGAGGCGTTGGGCATGCGTAAAATTGCCAAGAGATCTTTTCGGTTTCTTTTCGCGTTCTATAACGGATAGGATATTTTGTTTTTCCGAAATTCGAAAAAAGTCAACTTCCACTTTTGGGGAATTTCCAGTAAGAATTTTCCTCTGGAATTTTTTCTAGATTTAGGTTTTCTCTAGCTTTAGGAGGCGTTGGATATGAAATTGCCAGAAGATCTTTTCGGTTTTTTTTCGCCTTCTATCTGGATATGATATTTTGTTTTTCCGAAATTCGAAAAAAGTCAACTTCCAGTTTTGGGGAATCTCCAGTAAAAAAAAGTTTCTGGAAATTTTTCTAGCTTTAGGAGGCATTGAGCGTAAAATTGCCAGGAGACCTTTTCGGTTCCTTTTCGCTTTCTCTAACGGATAGGAAATTTGGTTTTTCGAAATTCGGAAAAATAAAACTTCCAATGGGTACCTACCCTAAAAAAATTTGTTGTTTTGCTATGATAAAAACCACACAACTTTGACAAGCCCCCATTTCGGCAGGTTAAACAGTAGCAACCTAAAACTTCGGAGATATAACCTTAATACCTATCAATGACGTACTCGTCACTCGACCCCCCTTTCCATTTGAAATTTTGGGGGTACATCTACATCTCACGTCCGCTTAGGGGTTGACAGAGATCAGTGTTGACAGGTAGGGGGTGAAAATACCAATAAAATGTGCCCCCAAAAACCAAAAATTGACGTGTCTGAGCGATTTTTGATCATTTACCTAACACCTGAGCAAACCCGGGTGGGAAGTTTTTCGTGCCCGGCCATGGTTTAGGTAAAATTTCACGAAAACACATAGTGTGCACCCGAGAAAGGAAATCAATTTACACACTTTTTCACACAAAAGATAGTATAATTAAGAAAAATATAAAAGCATACCTATTTCTGCCAATTTCAAATGAGTATTTTTCACTTGAATAGGTACGCAGTTTTATAAAAACCAAGGAATTAGAGCCGAGCTCTCACGGATTCACGCCATCTTACACAAAAATTTAATAAAACACAATTTAGTATCGAATTCTACTTAATGGATTGGGCTACACACTGTTTGGTGTACCTCCCCGTGATTTAGAATCTACATGGAGGGATGATACGTTTCCAGAGCCGAATCGATCGCCATTATTGCATGCCAGGAATATCCCAACTGTTGCAGCATCAACGGTAATACAACTTTTCATAGATAAGACATTGGATAGTAAAGCAAAAGGGTATTTTTCCAAGTGAAATTAATGGCTAACGAATTGAGCGTCGAGAGATTTTTTTTCAAACTATTTGTGTTCTGAAAGCTAGCTAAATGATAGTATATACAATCATTTACCAAAAAAAAAAGCGGACCTTTATATCCCAGAGAGTTTGTATCCTTTAATTTCCTTAAGAGATTAAAAAACTGTTATCAAGTCCCGTTATACTCTTTTTTTAATAATAGTTATTCAACATTTAATATTGGGAATTGTTAATCAGACTTTGATATCTTAGCATTCTAAAATAATTCTGCTTTGTAGTTTTTGAAGTAATAAAGGTACTTTAATCCTTTAAAACTATAATATCCACTTTACCCGCTCTTTGCAGAAAATAAAGTATTACCTACCTACTTCCGAAAATTTAAAAAAAAAAAACATTTTTTTTTTCTTCAGGAAGCTGCTCTTTTATCCAGGGACCTCAGCGTTCGAAGATTTTCGAAAATAAGGCTTTATACAGCTGGTAGAATTTTGCATATTGTTAGCAGAAAGAAAACTAAAGCAGAGCGGTAGGTTCAATAAATTTTTACTTGTGTGTGTTTTTTTTTAAAGCCTATCTTTTTATTTAGAAAATCTGGTACAGGTGGCCCTGACTATGAAATGCGTTGGGCGACTGCTGAAGATTTCATGGAGCTTAAAGTTATGCCGAGGATGTTACTAGATCACTTGCCAGATAATGTGTATAATGTTTTAGACACGATTTTAAGGGAACTGAAAGATAATGTTAGTGAGATAATTTGAACAAATTGAATAAGTATTATTAGTAATATTTTATTATATACTCTCAACATTATCAACAGTTTTAACTGTAATTATTTATATTTAATTGTATTTGGGGCCGGTTTATTCACGTTCTGATAAACTGTCAGGTATGCAATCTGACAGATAAAAACGCTATCTGTAATCTCATTGGTCGGTCAACGTCAATATAGAACGGTAAATTTATCTTGCAGATAAGTACCAGCTAGTTTATCTGAAGATGAATAAACCGGGCCTTATAGTTTTTATTTAAAGGAATTATTTGCTCAGAAAAAAAAAGAAAAATTAGACACAATTTTTTTAAAAAAATTCTATAAACGTTTACAAATTTTGAGGAAACCGTTTTTTAAATTCTATGGTCTATGAAAATAACATGAAAATGTTCAATTTGGCAACAATTGGTTATTGTGGATAGTTTTGTTAATTTCTAATTTGGGGCATTTTGATGTCGGGAGATAATAGAAACCACATGGTTCGGAGAAATAAAAAAAAAACTTAGGCGAGAATTTAGGGGGCTGGTAACTTCGAAAGGCGGTCCATTTACCAAAAATAAAACATAAGGGTCCCCTACTTTTTTTTAACAATCTTTAAACAAAATTTGTTTTCTTTATTTCCGGACACCCTGTACAAGTAGATTTTATGTTTTTTGGACGCTTGCTACATTTGCAAATAGAGGCAAAGCCGAGATTATTGCAAGTTGCATAAGTCCAAAATATTGTTTTTGGCTGCGTGCCACACGTACATAGGTATATATTTTATTATCTCAGAATCTCAAAATACACAACATGAGAAATCAACCGAACTATTTGATGTTTGATACTTTTATTTTAGCTTTGAAAAATTGTTTTGAACATTAAGAATTTTTTCAGAAATAAGTTGGTATAACTTTCGAAAATTATTTTAAGCTCAATGTCGCAAACTAAAAACAAATTATTACTCATTGCTTTTTTTGTAAATATGTAGAACTGTGTTTAAAGAAAATTATATATGTGTTTTTATGTGACTTACCTAATTGTATTGACTGATATTATAAAGCTTTTGTCTTCATCATCAATTTGTTTTTTTTTTTTTTTTTTTTTCGGGAAGACGTTACAGGGCCTATTTGACAGACATTATAGGTTTCAGTGCGACAGAACGAGAAAATAATAAATACAATTATGCTGCTAGTGACAGCCAACAAAAAGTATCGTTCCTCTCATCTTTTCTTCAGCTTTGTCAGTAACTTGAATTTTGTCATTCTAAAGGCTGACGCTCACTGGAGAGCAGCGCGCGGAAGCGCGGCGTAGAGGACTTTTTATAATACATTGTTACCGATCGGTGCTCTTCCGACAAGTGAGCGTACTCCCGTTTAAAACAATGTGCTTAAAAAGTCCTCTTCGCCGCGCTGCCGTGCGCTGCGCTCCAGTGAGCGACAACCTTAAAGGTTGTCGCTTACTGGTCTTGTTTTGGAAGTACCTACGTAGGTACTATGTATTGTACATTTGTTATTTGTTTTGGTGAACTTGCAGACGGTTTACAATTTGGCGACTCTCATTATTGAAGGAATTCTTTGTCAAAGTTTTTGTTGCAATAGTCTCTTGTCTGGTTTGGCATCTATGTGCAAGACTTTGGAACTTTAGAATAAAAAAACAGCTGAAAGTCAAAATGCACTAAGACTGAAAGTGGAGTCTCCACAACTCTCTCTGGCCTGCGCTAGAGATGCAGCAAACTGCCTTCAGCAAAAAAGCAATAATTAATAAGATACTGGCAGTAGCTCTGCAACCTGATGTGCAAACTTCAAGAGAGAAAAGTAGACAATCCTGGCCATCCCCGATCCAAATTCCAACTTAGTTTCAAAATATGATAGGTAAAAACAACATTTTAGAATAATTCACGTAAGTCCGGTCGTGTCTGAAACTTTTTGATAAAAATTGGACAGCCACACAAGAACATAGCAGCCTACTAAGCCTCCAATAGGAAATCAAATTGGTTCAATGAATAAAAAGTTTTTACCGATAAAAAATTCTGCAATTTTGAAAATGTATTTAAAGGGCTATGCAAAAACACAGTACCTACCTCAACTCAATGCCCTGCTACCTTTATTCCATCACCTCATAGGTGACAGCTGAAGTATTCTCATAAATAAAAAATAAACTACTGCAAAGTCAGTTTACTACTAAATTATTTATTAACAATGAAATAAATTGAAAATACAGTGAAAAAAGTAATGGATGCATTGAATTATTATACATTCAAAAACAACATTAACACTAAGTAATAAGGTATAAACATTTTGAAAATCCAAACTATAATTTGAAAAAAAAAATCTATTTGTCCGCCATTCTCAAGAATATCTACAAGTACTAGGTAGAATAGTTCATTTGTAAATCTTTCATTGCATTCTTTATTTCTGGTCAAAATATCCTTTGATATAGGTACCCCACAAAAAAAAACCATGGGAATCAAATCTGGACTTCTCGCTGGCAAAAAGATGGTTCCATTTTATCCGATTCCTATGTGATTTTTTTTCTGTCGATGTTCGTTAGATGCCATTTTTCACGTCGGTGATTAAAGCTGATCAAATACCTACTGTTTACGAATAGCGAGCATCGGAGCACGTGTTTACAAGGAAGAGTTCGGGGAGCGTCTCAATCATTTTTCTTGGTGAGGTGATACCTACTTATATCATATTTTTGATCAGGAGAATACGCCAGGAGCATCGTCAGCGAACAAAATGATGTAGCTTTCGTATAAGTGAACCGTATTGCATCTTCCAGAGAAATTGGCCAAGAAGTTTTTGACTAGTGCGATATTCAAAGAAGTATGTAGGTACCTCTAGTTTTTACAGATTCTTGGATTTTCGCAGCTCACCTGACGAATTTTAAGAACAATATATTTCAAATTAGGTCATCTGCCATAAATTCTAACCTACTCACCTTTTAATCACGTACTCGGCCATCAACATCATAATGTATTCGTTGAAACGTCTCTTGTGGTTTGACAAGCAACCATTTTCCCAGTTTTACACGTTTGCGTTTCAATATTGCACTTGCTGCTAGTATTTCTTGTTTGAGTTGATGCGGTAGTCCGACAAAATAAATTTGACTTATCAATAAAATGTAGTTAGACAAAACAAAATATAATTGAAAGTGTTTTACCTTAGCTAAGGCTTCTCTTTTCAATTCCCAAACATTCCATTTATAATTTGGATCAATGTAGGGTTCGAAATTATCATCAGTCTGAATATATTTATCGTCACAGCCTCTCACTTCTATTCTGACTTGAACAAGTCTAAAAAATACAAAGTTTATCATTTAAATTATTTCTTGGTAGGTATTTCATTACTTTTCAATATTGGAGACACCTTCAAGATCTTTTTGAAGTTGCAAAAAATTGACAAGCTGAGGATGATTTCTTCCAAGTTCGAGAACACCATTTACATATCTTCAAATAGAAAAGGAGTATCGGAAACAAGTTGAAATATTATCTGTTCAGGCGTGTGTAAAAAATACATACATTTGCGGGTCTATTGCAAACATACTGTAAGCTTCATAGGAAGAAAATACGTAATATTTTCCCTTATATTCAACTATGCCCATATGAGGATTCCCTGGTATTAATCCGCCATCAGTCTCTACTAGCATCCAGCAACAAAATCCCAGATACTAAAAATAACAGGCTATTTTGTATTTTTTTTTTATGAGGATGAAACAAAGATACTTCCTTCTCGAATTTTTGTGTGACGCTAGAAGACCTATAAGGAAGCGGCAAGGCCTTTGGTCATATGGAATTGCCATTGCCAATTAGTAGGTACCTACCTCTTTAAGAATTTTTGATTTATTTTAATCAAAGAAGTCACAAAAATCGGAATGCCGTAGCTTAGTCACTTACTTCTTATTCTAAAGCTAGGTAGGTACTTATGGTTGTTATAATAATGATAGAGAAAAAAAATAATTTTCACTAGGTTAACAATAATGACAAAACAAGAGAAAAATTATATTTACCTACCTGTAACTTAATGCTGTCCATATTTTTAACATTTTCATGTTTCATGATGCTTAATTCCGGATTAACAGAACTAAGGCTTAAATGCAAATTCTCTGCTAATCTTTCAGCATCCGTCATTGATTCAACCAGAACATCAAACTTATCAAAACCTGTTTGTTTCGAAAAATGATACAGATTATTCATGATGTCGTTGAGCCTGGTTAGAAGGAATGATTGATTTTGAAATTGTTCCCATAGTAACCATAAATGTTCGAAAAGTGGCTAAAAAAGATTTATAGGGGGTATTTCAAGAAAGGCAGGAGGCGTCGATTAAGTTAGCGCTTCCCTTTCGCAATATTTTTCAAATCAATAAAAACTTAGGTATAACATTTTTTCTGATACCTACTACTAAAGGAATGTGAGCTGATGGCTCCCTACGTAAGCACGCAAATGCTCACCTGACCTCACGCCTGTTTTTGCTGTATTCTTTCCTCCCTCGATCCCTCCTCATACGCAAAGTGTCAAATTAAAAAAACTAAACATAACACCGTTTTGCAAAACCCAACAAAAACTTTACACCGCACCCCGTCAGAGGAGAAACTACATGGAGGTATTACTAAGAAGGCCGACTTAATCCTGACTCTCCCGTATATCAAATTTAATTTTTAACTAATGCAAATTGCTCCTCGAGTGTTGCACCATATTATATACAGTGTTGCGTTAAAATGATCTAATAAGGTTCGAGCATCGAAGGACCAATAAAGTATGCTTGATTGATTGCACAAGGAGTCTTCAGAAAAATGTACGTGCTTTATTAACTTTTTTACAAAATTATTATTAATTATTTAATTGTCTTTTCTTTTGTCTGGTTGGTTTCTAGGCACCAATCGTCCATGGATATCTTCTTTATATTTTGTTTGAGGTAGTCCAGGTACCATCAGGTACCTACCTAATAGGTACTAATCACACCTTGTCATTTCAAGATTGAGGTGCAACCACTAGGTATAGGTAAATCATGAGTTTGATTGAACATACAGTGTCATTACTTAAGTGTGCAACATATGGGATTTTTTTTAGTAATAGCACAATCAAAATACAAACAAGGCCAAAAGTTGGTGCATGTCTAATAATCAATAAGGTGCACTTAGAATGGTTGCAAGTCAAACAGCATACAGGGTAGCTCAAAAAATATCAAAATTGTACAAAAATTTACTTGAATAAAATAAAACTTTTGCACTTTAAGGAGAGTTTTTTTAATATGGCTATTATCATTAGTAATGTTTTAACTTGTTAAAAAAAAAAAAATGCGACATTTTGAAGTTGTGTTGAATATCATTGCAACAAACATGAATTTTGTGATTCCAAAAAAAATTAAAAATCTAAGTTAATTTTACAAATATGCTTGAATTTGAACAAAGTTATGTAAAATTGATTTGATTTCGATTAATTTTTGGAAGTATTAAGGGCGGAAATAAAAAATAAAAAAAATATAGAAATTATAGATTTTTTTCGAAAATAAATAAAAAAAAATCTTAGGAGGCTATGTTTTGGTACTTAGGCATAACTTTTAATTCCAAACAACTTTTCTCCATAACATTTTGCTGAGGGTACTTTACAGTACAGCTTTGATATTTGTTGTGGAAACAACCAAACAATCATATTTATTTTTTATGATCACAGTGGCAACGTTGCAAAAAAGCCCCCCGCCGTGAAAAACTTGCAAAATGGCGCCGTACCAGGCTGTACCGTATCGATCCAGTCTGTATACAAGTTTGAACCTGCTCACTTTTCGCACAATGCGCCTGAGATACCTAATCTACTCACTACTTCACTTTTCAATCAATTAGTTTTTGTGAAGTTTTAGTGGTTTTATCGCAGAATTAAAAGTTGAAATTTGGTTCAAAACAAAGGTTATTTTTGTGCCCGTTGAAAAATCTAATTTATGATTGTGTGAGTACATCTACATAGGAATAGTTTGTAAAAATCTTTCGAACAATAGCCATTATTTATGCGTAAATTTGCATTTAAATTCCTTAAGCCCCAAAAAAAAGTTTCAATTTATTGTCATCAATAAAAAA